CATCATTATCATCATCATCATCATCAACATCATCATCATCATTATTATTATTTATGTTGCTATTATTTTCCATTTACTTTTTATTTTATCTCTGTTTCCAAGCTTGAATCATATCTTAAAATGGTGTTGTTTTGATGGTGGTAGGTACAGTAGATGATGGTGGTACAGTGATGGTGGTAGTACAGTGATGGTGTTGTTGTGATGGTGGTACAGTAGATGATGGTACAGTGATGATGGTGGTACAGTGATGGTGTTGTTGTGATGGTGGTACAGTAGATGATGGTGGTACACCAGGTACAGTGATGGTGGTAGTACAGTGATGGTGTTGTTTTGATGGTGGTAGGTACAGTAGATGATGGTGGTACAGTGATGGTGGTAGTACAGTGATGGTGTTGTTGTGATGGTGGTACAGTAGATGATGGTACAGTGATGATGGTGGTACAGTGATGATGGTGGTACAGTGATGGTGGTGTTGTGATGGTGGTACAGTAAATGGTCCCGGTGCCTCACAAGTTGACACTTCTTCTCCCCGTCGTTGGAGGGTATAAGTACATCACAAAGGACAGAACTTCTCATAGTTTAACACAGGTAAACTTTAGTAAGGGGAAGAGGGTGGGAGGGAAATATTCTACCTGTCATTCACCAGTGTCAGTAACAATGCCAGTCTCCTGTTGTTTTGTGTTCCTCTGTTGCAGCTGGACTGATATGTTGCAATGTCATCTCTGTGTTAACTAAAATACTGTTCCTTGGCTGTGAATGTTATAGATAAATTTTACTTATATTACTCCATGGTTCTGGTTAATGTCGGCTCGTAGACAAAATATTACCTTGAACAAATGGTGTAGGTGGGAACTGACTCATTCTCACATACAGACTGACGGTCATAGATCCCGTGGTGGCAGGTAGAGTGTGTGCAGGGTGGAAGGAAGAAGAAGAAGAAGAGACACTACGGAAAAAAGATACAGTGGAGGAAGAGGAGAAAGAAGAAGAAACAATGGAAGAAGTGACAAGAGAAGAGAGAGGAGGAGGAGGAGGAGGAGGACAGTCAATTTCATCTCGTCTCAGTTGTGGGATTGTAATCAACACGAGAGAACAAAGCATCGACCTCATAGGGTTTCCAGGAAGAGTTTGACTATAAATATTGATTTTGGAGGGGCGTTTATTATTATCTGTCGTTGTTGTTGTTGTGTTCGTTGCTGTGTTCGTTGTTGTTGTGAACCGAAGTAGAATCACGGATTTCGTTTCTTTCTTGACATAGGTATTGTGTAATATGAAGTATGTGTTATTTTGACTTCTGCCACATTGCAAGAAATGTGTCTATTTTATCTAGACCCAAAAAATGAACTTAAAGAAATGCAGGTAGTTTACTTGCACCTTCATCTTTAAAAAAATGCAATTGTACAGCAAAAAAAAAATGTGCATGTACTCTACTTTCAGATGAACAAAATATTATTTGTACATCTCTCAGAAATACAGGCATACTCATTCTTCACACAACAAACAAAAACATTGCATTTGTGCTGAACAAAGATATCAACTATTCTCTTTCTTCACCTGAAAAAAAAAATTTCAAGTGTTTCGCTAAAATACATATGTATTTTATTTTTATCCCTTGATAAAACTGGGTTTGTGTTGCACTGAATAAAAAATTTATTTCTGTTGCATCTGAAATAAACTTTGAATTTTAGTTAAAAAGAACAAAATACATATGTACTACTTACTACACTGGTACTGTCGGAGAAACGAGTCACAGTGCATAGTAAGGTGGCGCTAAGTAGACCTGGGATGAGTAGTGTTGGTCCACTGAAGCCGAGAGCTGGAGCGGAGTAGTGTGACTAGACCAGATCGGCTGAACAGGCTGGTGGCTGAACAGGCCGGGTGCAGAGTGAAAAGGATGTCTCCTGAAGTTCGGCCCTTAACTCGGGTAGAGTCCTGGTAAAGGAACACACAAGAAATAATACAAAATAGAAAACTCCAAAATGTCAAATTGTCATGGAACCAATAACCAAAGCTTCTTCCTTTAATTAAGGGATCCTTACACGGTCAATATTTATTGACATTATTCAAATATTGACAGTAGTATTGACCGTGTGAGGATTATATTTATAGTATTGGCGATACAAAGTAGTAATGGAACTTGGATTGATGAGTTTCAACATATTATTGATACTGTCAATACATACTGACTGTGTGACGCCCGCTTCATAAATAGATATGACAAAATACAGGAAAGAAAACCACAAAATTGGGAACGAAGCATAGTTCTGCCGTCAGTGGTTGACGGGAGTCAAGTGAGTGGCTGACTGCTCAGGCACTTCCTTTCACCCAAAAAAATTTGTAATGAGGACTCGAAACAGCATGACGAAGGATAACACTACTGAGAAATTGAAACTTTACTCAACAGTCGGAGCTGTTAGATTATCTCACAGACCATGTAACAGAAGGATAACTAAACAACACATTAAACTATTCACAGATATGTGAAGAAATGCATATCTCCTGTACAGTATCTTGGCAGTATTAAGTACTTAATATTCCATAGAAGAATAATGGGTACAAAATGAACATCTTTAGAAAGTCTTCCATCTTTTTGACGAACTAGTGAACTATATCTAGTTAAATATATATATATATATATATATATATATATATATATATATATATATATATATATATATATATATATATATATATATATATATATATATATATATATATATATATATATATATATATATATATATATATATATATATATATATAACCAGTAAAATTAATACCAATAATAAAGTTAATATTTGTTATAGCTATGTGAAACTTTTCGGGTTTATATGTCATGTACGTCACGATCCATACGAGACACAGAAATAAATAGTGTAGTAAATGTTATTGGGGTAGCATGGTTGTTTTTAATACCTCACCAAGGATCGTTCAAATCTAGAATAGTTTAGTGTATATCGAGAAGGTCAGCTGATTTGTATAAATAAACAGAAGGGTCATCCATCCTAAGGACCCTAAACTAGATAAGCTTTTGATGGCTTTATTGGCTATCATTGGTCGAATGGCCCCATTGTTTACTACTGTTGTATACCTATACTGTCTAGGTACACTACAGTGGTTGTGTACCTGCACAATCTATATGAGCTGTATATGTGCGTTGCCTATCATGTAAGATTTGAGATCCATCACCGTGTGTCCGGTAATAGCTTGCGCCTCTTCTGCGTCGTGATAAAAAACACTGGTACTTGTACGCTCTGCCACCTTGAAGATACAAGTGAGACCACCTTCTTTTTGCCCCTGAACCGAAAAAGGATATCAAATTATTCCTGGACATTGGATAGTCGAGGTTTTCATCATAAAAAGTTGTGACGTACAGCATTCTATACGCCAGAGTACTTTACCAGTTTTGACGTTGCTTTGGACGTACTAGATTTATCCTTATCTTTAGTAACATCATTATGACGCAATACATCTTCACATTCACGCAGGAATATCAAGATGTTAAAATCTTCATCTTCACCTGTAAATTCCTGTACGTTGACAGTATTTGGAAGTATTTCTACAGTCTTCAATTAGAATATGACGTCCAATGTCTATGAACCTCTGTCCTGCATGGCAGTGAACAGTGACATCACCCACATGAATCTGACCTATATATACTGTTCATGAATGTGATGTATTTCTTTGTGTATGAACCTCTGTCCTGCGTGGCAGTGAAAAGTGATACCACCCTCAGTGTCAAGACCTGACTGAATTACTCGGAATAGGCAAACTGTACTACAAGCTTTGTCAATAAATTTGTTAAACTAAACTAAAAAACTGTGATAGATGGAGAGATCAGTGTTAGTAGAACCACCTGTCACCATGGTTGCCATGTTAGTTAAAGCTCTAGTTTTGTTGACAGGTAGACGTAATGGGTAAATGGTACCTGACCTTAATTGTCAAATATTTAATTTTTCAACTGCGAATCTATTAATTGTTCACACCTATTAACTGACTCCGTAAGAGTTGTTGTAATTCTAATTGGCTAATTTGTGGTAATTCTTCGCTAGTTGCTTCTACCTTTTGTGAGTCCTGAAAAATTTCAGCATCCGACTCTGAGTCTGAGGAACATACATGTATGTGGGTGCAACACATTCAAATTATTTTCAAATGAAGTTAATGAACAGAACTGTACAACACATTCAATATTTGTTTGAATTCCCATACAGCTAACAATATAATTTTTACCTTTTTATTTTCAGTTTCCTTCTAATTAACTAAGAAACAGAAACCAACTTTAAAACATTTGAACACATACTCACACTACTCGAGGTTTCCTCAGCTACAGACAGCACCATTGGCCACAAGCCGTCAGCTTCAGGGGAACTCCAACGGAAAAGTTTGTTCATTCTATGTGTCGGAGTTGGCACAATCATCCAAGTTGGAGCATCAGGTAATAAGAGGTCGGTGGTGAGCCACACTTGGCCGGTCTTCATTATGACCCATGATGTAGTGTGGCTACTTGATGGGATAGATGGTTCAGTGAGGTCCCCCCCCCCCCTTCCACTGGACCAGAGGAGTCAGTGTGGTCATTGACTGAGCGAAATTGCCTAGTGAATCTATTTACTGTATTTAGCCAGATGGTTTAAAAAGGCCACTCGTTGATTCAGATGGTTAAATGTGGCTACTGGCATTCAGCAAAATCAACCTCAATCACCCCATTTATCAACAATTCCTGCCATTATAAACAATGACGATCATTTGCAAAAAAAAAAGACAATGTAAAATGTAGAACTAGGAGAAGGGAATTACTACCACTTTTACAGGGCGGAGGAATTGTAACAGGGGTCCAGTTGTATGTAAGAGAGCGAGAGAGGCTGTATCAGTAAGATCCATTGAATTAGATTAAGAAATAAAAAACCGAGACACAAGTGACATGGAGTAGTGTGGGAAAGGAGGAAGAAGGGATGGAGGCACGCGGGAGGGGGTGAAGGAAGAGTGAGCGTGTCAGTGTGTTATTGTTGACCCAGCTGTGGGAGGACACAGAGGTGCTGCTGATGATCGTGTACATAGATCCCTCAAGTGATCTCGTCTCCCCCACATCACCAAAGGCTCCTAGGCGTTTGTGCGTTAAATTTGACCCTGTAGGTTATTACACATGAAGAAAGTATTCGTATAATTATCTACTTTCTACTGTGATCGAAAGTTTTAGAATTCCACTTTGTTGTCTCAAGAACACCAGAAATACGAATATATTTACTGATTATGTATTTGGTATTATCTGAAACTGATAACGACACGTTGCTTAGTTATACGGGTCACTGTAATTGTCAACATTCTACTCTACAGTGGATTGAGTCAACGCTTCGACCATCACGCCAAAGCTGAAGAAGCGTGAACAACACACCTGGGCTCACGGGAGAAGTTCTGGCCGGGGATGAGTGACTGAAACTTACAGAGAGACCAAAACCTCTTGAGGGAGATTGTGGCTGTAGGAGTGGGTGTTGGGGGAGATCGTCTCCAGCACCATCATGGTAGTCCTCAGACGAGTGTTGGTGACTCTCCTGTTGCACCACTTAGTAGGTAGGTCCTCCCCCAGCTTCCACATCATGAGAGTTTTGAACAGAGTAATGTTGACCCGCTGAGCTGTTTATCAAGGTGATGTTTGGGTGTGACTTAAATTACTCAAACCATCCCTGTACGTCATATGTGGGTCAACATCTTGTGAATTAGTGCCTTAATGTTCACGAATATTTGAGTTTTGTGCCTATAATATTGTAGAGTAACGTAATATAATCAAGATGACACAAAACCTACTTCTGGTTTACTCAGGTGTGATGATGATTTATGACTTATGATGTCACCATTGCCTCCCTGGGTCTCATATGCATAAATGCAGTTTAAGCTGTTATTGAGGAATATGTCACCTGCTGTAGACGTGGTGATGTAATGCTGTGAGAGAGAGACAGAGAGAGAGAGACAGAGAGAGACAGAGAGAGAGAGACATGTGATACTCGTTTAACCCTTAAATGACGGCATCTCAACAGAATCAACACTTCCTCCCCTATCATGTAACCTTCTTACTGTACTTGGTGAATTTCTCCTTCACTGTCAACTCTCCCACACGGGAAGAGTAAAAGCTGTAAACATACATAAGGACACTCGGGAAATTAGCTAAACCCTGCACATGCCAATTTAACAATACACCTAACTAAATCTAATATACAACTAAACAAACATAAAGTATAGCGGTAAGAGACACTAATATCTCACTTAGTCTAATTCTACTCACGAAGGTAAATTACATTAACTGAGTAACAAGATAATTATGGTCTTCAAAAAAGTCGAATCAACATCTCCGGTTTTAAATTACGGGCGGAAAACTGTGTATATATGTATGTTTATGTACAGTATATTAGAGTATGTTTATGTATATTAACAACAGGATATTCCAACGTAGGAGGAAATATACCAATTAGACTTTATTATTATTATCATGGGTTAACTTAAGTCTCTCGCTGAGATGAATAAATGACTATGAATGGACTAAGCTCTTAAACCAACGGGAACATTAACTACAAGTGTTGTAAGTTAAAGGGGGGTGATAATTTTTACCCGACAACCAAAATAACAAATAATTCCTAAGAGAAAAATATTTAATTGTATCCTGATATAATTCCCTTATAATTCTAAATCAATCAATCTATTTCCTTATTTATTTATTTCATTCTGTCTACCTTTTTTTTATATCCGGCTGTCTAACTATTTGCTTCTCTCTTCTCTCCCTTTTAATTTATTTGATCTCCTTGTATCTACCTATTTCTCACTTTTTCTCTCTCCCTCTGTCTGGCTAATTATCTCTTTTTTTCCCACTGTCTCCCTGTTTGTCCTCTCTTCTCTCATCACAACTCCCTGAAGTAATCCTTCCCGTTCTCCCCCGCAGCAGGCACAGAAACAGAAGTAACTCACCTGGTAGTACCTAGGTTCGCTACAGCTGGTGAGGAGGTGGTGTTAGAGTGTTACCATAATGTACCTGAGGACCGCCTGTATCAGATTAACTGGTACCAGAACGCCAGAAAAATCTTGAGGTTTTTACCCCATACAAGACTTAAACTCAAGGTTCCAGATCCTAACATCAGTGTCAATGTGAGTGTTATGGCGTGGTGGTGTGAGTATCCTAACTGTGGTGTGTGATTATACTAGCGGTGTTGTGGTAAATAATGACAGTGTTGTAGTGTATGATTATTGTATTCTGTGAACATTATTATTGTTGGTTTTATTCACTATACCATCACTAACTGTATCACCCAGCCTCCTAATTATTGTCTCTGTTTTTTTTTCATAATACTTCTTCTTTCTCCAAGCATTATCCTGTCTTCCTCCTATTTTTCTTATACCATACACAGTACGTATAATGACTCCTTAAACTACTCCCATTCTTTCTCTTACTCCCTCCTACTTCATTCTTATTTATCTACATGTGACCATTTTATTTCATTTCTCGTGAATATTTCCCACCCAGAAGCTTCTTGTGGTTTAATGATATTCCCTGCACCTCACCTTAGTAATGGTTTGTGACTACGTGTGCAGAACCTTTTAAGACCTGCCTCCTCCCCCACCTTACACGTCGGTCGTTCAGTCTAATAATGTTATCGTAGAGTGAATAAAGGAAAGGTGTTAGGATGGTAGTACATAACGCACAAGTCTTCAATTTCCATTTTAACCCAAGTTGTATTGGTTTTCAAAGACTGAGACTGACTTAATGAGAACTGACAGGGACACAGGTAAGGACATATATACATACAGCAGTTCTTCCTCCCTCACACAGCTGGAACAGTCGACGGGCCAGCGGCTGGTACTCAAACACGTCCAACTGAGCTCCACCGGTTTGTACAAGTGTACGGTGGTGACACAAGGTCCAGATTATGTGATCTACACCAAAGCTCTTCCCATGACTGTTTTACGTGAGTACTAATGTTGCTACCTCTGTCTCTAGCTGTATTTTTGTACGCTTATCTATTTCCCTATTATGTGTGTGTGTGTGAGTAAACCCATCCCGTTCTCTAATCTTTACCTACCCGCCACTCATTCTCAGTTTAATAATACCTATCTCATACGATTTATCTCTTCCTCCAGAGGACACACCTCGTATCTACGGGAGGCAGGACGAGTACCACATAGGAGACACCGCCCAACTCAGCTGTGTCTCGGCCATGTCCACACCACCTGCCGAACTTACCTGGTACATCAACGATAACCGGGTAAGTGTTCCTATATACCGAGTTGTCCTCTGAATGTTATTTATACAAGGTGCGTGGGAAATAGTCGACAGATTTTTCAACTTATGTAAAAATCTGTTTTATTATCATATACAATATACATCATACTTTATAAAATTTATCCTTCATGATACACAACATTCATTATACATACAACACAACGTACATAATATACGACATACACATTTAAAGAATGTATATAGTGCGACTGGTGGGTGGCATGTGTCAGTTGATGTAGTGCTGGATTTTTATTTAACTTTTGTATTGTCATTTAATTAAACAGTTTATACAGTAACTCTATCCTTAGGTGTAGCCCTCCTAGTATTTATGGTATTATTCTCCTCATCCCTACTTATATGACCAAAAGTATCACATTTTCCTTTCTCTATGAATTTCAATTATTTCTCTTGAAGTTTCTGTCGATCTTAGTACTTCTTCATTTAATTTCCTGTCATTGTAAACTCATTTTTTTTCCTACTAGGTGTATTAATTGAGCAGTACTAAATTTTAATGTTTATTTACCTTTTAATTTGCATTATTTTCTTGTGATTTAATTTAATAATTCGGGAAATAATTCTATCATTTCGCCATAATGTTTCCGTCAACGCTTCCACTAACACCAATTACCATCTTCCACTTACTGGACCAACATAAATAACAATAAATAATTCCTCTATTATTATTTTCCTTTATACTGCTGTTCCAAGCTCTTCCTCTTCACTATAAATTATGTGTTGAAGGAAAGTGATCCAACATCAATTTATAACACTAAACCTTCCCTTTGCCACCTCTGTGTTTTATTTTGAGGTAACTAATACGTGATTCTATACCTATCAGGACAATTGCCTTTTTACTTTCCGTATTTGATTTCCTTCACTGTGGCGATTAACATGTGATGGGTTGTCAGTGGCAGGCTCCCCAGAAGTACATCACTGAATCTGAGTCCAAGTTGGCTATCACACGTAAAGGACTGAGCTTCAATGTCTCATGTAAACACTTCCTCGATGGTGAGATGAACCTGCGATGCTCCGTCAAAATCTTCAGTATAGACTCCAAGCCCGTGCAACAGACCATCGACACGCAGATCACTTACACTATCCCTACTACTGAATGTGTAGACGGTGGGTCAGGTAGGTGTGACAACAAAAGTCTATAACAGGTTACTGGTAGTCCCTTATTGCATGGTGGTGATAAGTTGGTTGAATATGGGTTGGTTTTGGGAGTCAAGGTCACGTATGAGTCATTGGTAGGTAGGCAGGTCATTCGTGAGTCATTGGTAGGTACAGCAGGTAGGTCAATCATGAGTCATTGGTAGGTAGGTCATTCTTGGGTCACTGGTAGGCAGACAGTTGACTACCGAAGAGAAGTGATAATGAAAGAGGGAAATAGAGTAAAACATACCTACCTACCCTACCTACCTACCATATACCTACCTACCTAACCTACCTGCCTACCATATACCTGCCTACCCTATCCTGCCTACCTACTCCTACCTACCTACCCTATACCCCACCTATACCTACCCTACCATATACCTCCCTACCCTCCTATACCTACCCTACCTATACCTACCCTACCCTATACCTACCTACCTATACCTACCCTACCCTACCTATACCTACCTACCCTACCTATACCTACCCCTACCTATACCTACCCTATCCTCACCCTACCCTACCCTACCATATACCTACCCTACCCTATACCTACCCTACCATATACCTACCCTACCCTACCCTATACCTACCCTACCCTATATCTACCCTACCCTACCCTATACTTACCCTACCCTATACCTACCCTACCCTACCCTACCCTACCTTAGCCCAAATTTACCTTCAAAATCAAAACCAGCTCAAATACAAAGGCCTTACGGTAGGATTACAATATACATGTAACAATTTCCATATCTCGTATCAGTAAGGTGTACCTAAATTATTAACCTGGATAATACTGAACACATCCTTGAAACGAGACTTATTTTAGTAATTCAAACATGTCGATGGTTCATAATTATCTCAAACATAAGGTATATAATTATTACTGACTATTGAAGTTACGTTACACATTACAAGACCATCTGCTTGTAACAATACTTCCGTCATACGATTAGAATTTTAACCTAACCTTACCTAACCTAACCTATCACTATTCACTATTACTCGACTGATAACAGTTTTGTCCTCACACAGACAGCGGCAGCAACACCCACAGTGAAGAACCGCATTACCTGGTGGTGGTGTTGGTGGTGACAGTGATGATGTTGGCGTGCATGTTGGAGATGTTGATGGCGGCTACACCCTGAGTCTCCAACACCTCCCCACCATTCTTCACCCCTCCCCCCCAACACACACAAACACACACACGTACAGAAATAAACGTAATAAATCCCCCTCCAAAATGAACAGAATGATAAAATATTAATATAGTTACCACGGTGTAAAAATCACTTCAGATGGAACATGCAGCAATATGTCGAGGAGTTAATATTATGGTCCTGTAGTTTTGTTTTTCGTGTCTGAACTTGAATTTTTTTTTTTTTATTAATTTTATTATTGTTGGTAATGTAAATGTCTTGATAATCTTTATTGTGTAGTTGTCCCTTTTTAAATACTTACCTACTGCCTGAAATACTACAATAAATAACAAGAGATTATTATTTATATGTTTTCCTTACGTACTGTATCCCATTTTATGTTATGTCAGTACACTTAAGACAATTGTGACTGGTGTATCCGAGTCAGAGAAACGGGTATATCGAAATGAGTTCAAAAAAATTTTATGATAAGAAGATAATTATACTGTGATTTATTCATTATTTGTATATTTATTCTACTTATGATTATACTTATTATTTATTAACTCCTTCAAGCATACGTGTGTGTGTGTGTGTAGTCTGACAGTATGTACTGGCAAGTGTCCAGGAGTTGACGGTGGTGGGCTTTAGTAGTGGAATTTAATAACCTATGAGAGGGGAACCAGAGAAAACCTTGGTGATGATTTCTTCAGTACAGGGGGAGGAGGTGAGTCACCTAGGGAGGTGGTCTCGTCTCGATCCAGCCGTCAGAAAGGGAGAAAGAAAAATATGGCCAACATGGAATTCAATGACGGACAAAGGGAAATAAAAAGAAATATATTGTGAGATAAACGACATGATAGATGATAAATTTTAAAGGTTTTCGATTATTCTTAAACATAAAAGGAAAAAAAATAATCGTGGGTTATAATTGTGTTAATGAGAGTGTAAGAATGTTAGGGTGACTGCCAGTACTGGAGACTTTCTGTACTAGTAGGTTATAACATATATGTACTAATAGTGAACATCGTGTGAACGGGGAAAAAAAAAGTCCTTCCAAACTCATAATATTATGATGCTGGGAGGCTTGAAGACCTGATTGCACCTGACCATTGACCCCTGCCTTCCTGCTGACCTATCACCCCCGCTCCACACTTACTGGATTCATTATTTGATCTGGTATAGTTAGGGCTCATGGGTTATATCTCAAATGGTATTGTAATGGATTAGTAAGTGAGGGAAGAGAACAGAGCCTTCTACTGGGGCCGGACACTCAAAAGCAGAGCCATTGCCATCACCACTCACCACACACGCACACATGTCACCCATCTATTCTACACGATGGCCAGGCTAACATTCGTTCTGCTGCCGGCTGTACAGTGCATCAGTAAGTATCTGTGCCTGGATTCAAGTTACGATGCCCCCCGCACTAACTAGTTGGACTGTATACTAAAGCTTCGTGGGGTAACTTCAGCTTGTGTTTGAGATGTGTACAGTTTTTAACGCATGCTTGAATTTATGTTGATATTTCTTCACTGAAATTCTAACTCTATCCCTTTCTCGTTTACCTGTATATTTATCTGTCTGTCTTCAATCCCTTTTCTTCCTCTCTCTCTCTCTCTCTCTCTCTCTCTCTCTCTCTCTCTCTCTCTCGTATCAAGGAACACGACCCTAAATGTTGTACGCAAACCCGCCCTTGAGTATGGACCCAACTTAACCAAGAATGTCAGACTTATTCTTTGACGACCCAACACACTCCACTACACCAGCAGGAGCACCCGTAGGCGAGTGTAAGAACATAAGAACATAAGAACATAAGAATGGAGGAAACTGCAGCGGGCCTGTTGGCCCATACTGGGCAGTCCCATTTACACCCAACCCCTATTGCTCATATGAGCATCCAACCTATGTTTGAAGCTATTCAACGTATTCGAGCTAATGATGATATTTGGTAACTTGTTCCATTCATCCACTACTCTGTTTCCAAACCAGTGTTTACCTATTTCACCCCTAAATCTAAATTTGTCTAATTTAAATTGTTACGAGTTCGCTCCTGGTTGGATAGTTTGAGTACCTTTGTAACGTCCCCTTTGTTTAGCCCTGCCTTCCACTTATACACCTCTATCAGGTCGCCCCTCGCTCTACGTCTCTCGAGGGAGTGCAAATTAAGATGCTTTAACCTGTCTCTATACTCAAGGTTCCTAATGGCATGGGATTAGGCTTGTCATTCTCCTCTGAATTCTTTCCAAGGATTCAATATCCATTCTGTAATACGCTGACCAGAACTGAACTGCGTAATCCAGGTGTGGTCTCACAAGAGCAAGATACAGTTTTAGGATGACCTCGCTAGTCTTGTAACTATCACTCCTTTGTATAAACCCAAGTACTTTATTAGCCTTGTTACGAGCAAAAACACATTGTTTACTTGGCTTAAGGTTCCTACTTATCATTACTCCTAAATCTCTCTCGCAGTCGGATTTCTCTATGGCATCGTTGTTCATCTGGTATCTGGTTTCCCTGTTTACATCTCCTATACTGAGTACTTTACATTTGTCCACGTTGAATTTCATCTGTCATTTTTCAGACCATTCGAAAAATTTTTTTAGATCTTCCTGTAGTTTTGCGGAGTCCTCGTCAGATTTAATAACACGTCCTATTTTAGTGTCATCAGCAAATTTGCTAATGTTGCTGTCTATGCCGATATCTATGTCGTTTATGTATATAATAAATAATAATGGTCCAAGTACTGAGCCTTGGGGAACTCCACTTGTGAAGTTGCTCCAATGGGACTTCGTGCCATTAATGCTCACTGGCTGTTTCCTGTCCTGTAACCACCCCCTAATCCATTTAAGGATATTAGCTTTGATGCCATGTGCTTCTACCTTTCTAATTAGTCTTTCGTGGGGGAATCTGTCGAAGGCTTTGCTAAAGTCGAGATATACCACATCATAATTGTGCCCCTCGTCCACAAAAAGAAAACTGATGAAAAGAATGTTAATAGATGAGTTAATAATATAAATAATAATAATAATAATTAACGGTTTATTGAAAAAGTTCTGCAGCCGAAGGCTGAAAATATACATTGGGCATAAATGACTTATTACATACATTGGTGGTTTAACAAAAGCCTTCATTAGAGAAAGGTAAAGGAACATACAGTGAACATACAGATTAATGTAGGTGTTGAACAGCAAAAACGTAGTGTAGTAACTCCCTCCCAGATGGTGTTAGGAGGGACCTCACGTGGTGTAGTAGTTCCCTCACAGATGGTGTTATGAGGGGCCTCACGTGGTGTAGTAATTCCTCACAGATGGTGTTATGAGGGCCTCACGTGGTGTAGTAATTCCTCACAGATGATGTTATGAGGGGCCTCACGTGGTGTAGTAATTCCCTCACAGATGGTGTTATGAGGGCCTCACGTGGTTAGACATGAACGTCCGCTTGTGAAGCCATGCTGGGAATCATTGATCAATCGGTGCTTCTCCAGGTGATTTCGAATAGAGTTTGAAATGATTGCTTCCAGTAATTTGCCTACTATTGATGTTAGACTGATTGGGCAGTAGTTAGAGGATAGTGATCTATCCCCCTTCTTGAAAATCGGTATTACATTCGCTATCCTCCAGGATTCTGGTACTACACCTGTTTTTAAGGACATGTTAAACAACTTTGCTAAGGGCATACTAAGCTCTTCCTTACATTCCTTTAATACTCTGGCAAATATCTCATCGGGACCAGATGACTTATTAGGCTTTAGTTTGTCTATTTGCTTACTAACATCGTTATTAGTCACTACTATCTCGCTTAATTTGTTTTCTTCACTATCTCTGAATAGAGTCGGTGCCCCGGGTATCATGTTTAAATTTTCGGTGGTGAAAACTGTTGAAAAATATTTATTCAAATTATTGCTCATTTCTCTGTCGTTATCCGTGAGCTCGCCGGAATCTGACCGTATTGGTCCAATCTTTTCTCGTGTTTTAGTTTGATACATTTGGTAGAATCCTTTGGGGTTTGTCTTTGCCTCCCTTGCTATCCTTACCTCATTATTCCTCTTGGCTTTCTTTATCTCGGTTTTAACCCTACTCGCCAATACCCTATAATAATCCCGGAGGTAAATTTCGCCACAATTTATCCTTCTACCTATAGCCTTCCTTTGGCCAATGATGTTCTTTAAATAATTATTTGTCCATTTAGGGTCATTGTTGTCTGATCTGAGTTTTTTGTATGGTGTGTTCTGCCTTTGTGCATTAAGTAACTCATTATTTAAATTGTCGTGGAACTCGGCAATCTCAGATCTCGTTATCAGGTCTGTGTCATCTGTCAGGTTCACGGCCAAGCGCGACACCCCCTCTCTCAGCTGCCTCTTTAAACTGTCAAAGTTTGCCCTTCTGAAATCTGGTACCTTAGTGGAATTTTCCTTACGTCTACCATGAAAATCTAACTGGAATCTAATTTCTTTATTATCGCTGTTTGCAAGTTCGTTCCCTACCTCGACATTGCTAAGGTCCTCACACCTCTTGACCACAAAGACACTGTGTAGGAGGCTGAGTCATTCTCGCTATCGTATTATAATTTTTTATTGCTATTTATATTATCATTATCATTAGTAGTAATTTGTATTATCATCATCATCATCATCACTGTTATAATTGGTATATTAACTGACCTCATCCTGATCAAATAATTCACAAAGACAAACACCGTCTAACTTAAGGGAAGGAATTAGGACACAACCAACACATTTACTCGTAACCACCTCTGTCAATGAATATGATGCATCTCTTTGTGTGCGAACCTCTGTCCTGCGTGGCAGTGAGAAGTGATACCACCCTCAGTGTCAAGACCTGACTGAATTACTCAGAATAGGCAAACTGTACTACAAGCTTTGTCAATAAATTTGTTAAACTAAAAAAACTGCCTTCTTATCCTCCCATTCTCCTTTTCTCCTCTTTTATTATTTCTTCTCCTTCTCCTCCTCGGGACCACTCACCCACAGCATCACACTGCCATTGGCTGCCGATGACAAAGAACCGTCAAGAAAAATGTAAGGGTCAGCTTCGAGTCCTGCCAGATTGTGCAGCGAAGTACTTGACCCACTGTCCACTCGACACCTTCTGTGTTCCTCTCTACCACTACCGCTGTCCTCCAACACTATCACTACCCTCTACTCCAACACCACCACCACCACTACCCTCTTCCTCCAACACTACCACCACCACCCTCTCCCTCCAACACCACCACCACCACTATCTCCCTCCACCACCACTACCCTTCCCTCCCCCCACTACCATTATTATCCTCTCCCTCTTCTCTTCGTTCTTGTTCTTATCACTAAATTCTCCCCTTTCACTCGTCTGTCTTTCACCTTCAATTCCACCAATTTTCTCTCTCCATCTCCACTTTCCACCACTTCTTGAAATAATCC